CCCATTTAGTTGTTATTGAAACCATGGTTTTGAGTCTATGAAGTTCCTGAGCTGTTCTTTGTCTGTGAAACTGTGTGTTTTTCCTTCTATTATGAATGAGAGTCTTGCTGGGAAAAGTATTTTTGGGGAGGCATTTATTTCATTGAGTTTTTTTACTATGTCCCACCACTGTTTTCGGGCCATGAGGGTTTCATCAGAAAAATCAGCTGTGAATTTTAAGGATGCTCCTTTGTAAGAGATTTCTTTCTTCGAATTGTGAGTCTCTTTTCCATTTTCTGCTCTTTTCTGGAGAGTCTCTGAACTTCATCTTCGAGCTCACTGATTCTGTTCTCAGCAGCTCTTACTCTGCTGCTGAGGCCTTCCACTGAGCTTTTCAATTCGCCTACGAGATTTTTCAGGTCTGACATTTCTGATTGCATTTTCCTCATTTCTGCCTTCAGATCCTCTTGTCTTCTATTGGCATTGCTTTCCATTGTTTCTTTTAATTCCCTAAGCATCCTAAGTAGCTCCCTTCTGAATTCCTTGTCAGAGAGGTTGTCTAACACTACAGTACTGTTGGTGTCATCTGGGCTAGACTCTTCCATATGAAAGTTTGGTGGGCTTTTGCGTTGCTTTACCATTCTGAGAGGTGTGGTTTAGTCCTTCACGTTCAGTGTTACTATTCTGCTTGATATGCAGTGTGAGTTAAGATAGGCTTATGAGTTATTGGCTACTGTGTTTCTAGTGGCTGAGCTAAAATAGAGACGTTTCCATCTAAGAAGGTAGCTTATGGTTCCTATGGCATACGTAGTGGGAAAATATTTTGTGGCCGCGTTAGCGGCCGTGGCTCCGGAAAGAGTCCCTGGCACTGACCGAGGTGTTGGGAACGTCTCCTGTTTGGAATTGGAGCCGTTCAGCTTTGTTGCCCAGAGCTGGGCCTCCGTGCCCGTCCCGTGCAGATCAGGGGTGAAAACCGGCTTTCTAGGGGCTGGATCTAGCTGCGCATGCCCAGAGAGGGTCTGACGCCTTTGGGGGCGGGCTGTACCTGTTTGGAATTGGAGCTGTTCAGCTTTGTTGCCCAGAGCTGGACCTCCGTGCCCGTCCCGCGCAGATCAGGGGAGAAAAACGGCTTTCTAGGAGCTGGATCTAGCTGCGCATGCCCAGAGAGGGTCCGAGGCCCTTGGGGGTGGGCTGTACCTGTTTGGAATTGGAGCCGTTCAGCTTTGTTGCCCAGAGCTGGGCCTCCGTGCCCGTCCCACGCAGATCAGGGGAGAAAAACAGCTTTCTAGGAGCTGGATCTAGCTGTGCATGCCCAGAGAGGGTCCGAGGCCCTTGGGGGCGGGCTGTACCTGTTTGGAATTGGAGCCGTTCAGCTTTGTTGCCCAGAGCTGGGCCTCCGTGCCCGTCCCGCGCAGATCAGGGGAGAAAAACGGCTTTCTAGGAGCTGGATCTAGCTGAGCATGCCCAGAGAGGGTCCAAGGCCCTTGGGGGCGGGCTGTACCTGTTTGGAATTGGAGCCGTTCAGCTTTGTTGCCCAGAGCTGGGCCTCCGTGCCCGTCCCGCGCAGATCAGGGGAGAAAAACGGCTTTCTAGGAGCTGGATCTAGCTGTGCATGCCCAGAGAGGGTCCGAGGCCCTTGGGGGTGGGCTGTACCTGTTTGGAATTGGAGCTGTTCAGCTTTGTTGCCCAGAGCTGGACCTCTGTGCCCGTCCCGCGCAGATCAGGGGAGAAAAACGGCTTTCTAGGAGCTGGATCTAGCTGTACATGCCCAGAGAGGGTCCCAGGCCCTTGGGGGTGGGCTGTGCCTGTTTGGAATTGGAGCCATTCAGCTTTGTTGCCCAGAGTTGGGCCTCCGTGTCCGTCCCGCGCAGATCAGGGATTGAAAACCGGCTTTCTAGGAGCTGGATCTAGCTGCGCATGCCCAGAGAGGGTCCCAGGCCCTTGGGGGCGGGCTCTACCTGTTTGGAATTGGAACCGTTCAGCTTTGTTGCCCAGAGCTGGGTCTCCATGCCCGTCCCGCGCAGATCAGGGGAGAAAAACGGCTTTCTAGGAGTTGGATCTAGCTGTGCATGCCCAGAGAGGGTCCCAGGCCCTTGGGGGCGGGCTCTACCTGTTTGGAATTCTGTACCAAAGGTTCTTTAACCAGTCTTCTGTTTTCAGCCACTCTGGTTGCTTCCAGGTTCTGGCTATTGTGAACAGTGAGGCAATGAACATGATATTATTATTTTAATGTTTTCTTTTCTTGATATGTTATATTTTATTAATTTATTTGCATATATTGAATAATTATTGCATCTCTGGAGTAAATTCCACTTGATTTCGGTGCATGATTCTTTTGTATATTGTTGCATCCTGTTCTCTAACATTTTGTTGAAGATTTTGCATCAATATTCATCATGGACAATGTTTATTGTGTTTCTTTGTACTATATATGGTTTTGTACTATGGTAATGTTGGCTTCATATAAGACATAAGGAAGCATTCTTATCTTTTCAATATTTTGTAAAAGGCTGATAAATATGCATAATAAGTCTTTGAAAGTTCATTGGAACTTAGTAGTGAATCCATATGAACCAAAACTCTTATTCAGAGATTTTTTTTAATTTATTGACTGAAATTTTTTGTTTACAATATGATTACAATATTATTGCTATAACAGTTATTATAATCACTTGTCACTTGTGGTTCCATTGTTCATAGATTTGCTTGAGCGTGCAGAAGTAACATCTCCATTCATCTGAATTGTGTGATAGTGTAGCCCAATGGCGTATTGGGAGCTCTTTCAGGGTCAGGGTAATGAGACCCGTTATTGTTACTATTTTTGGCATATTGAATACAATTAAAAGTCTCTAATTTCGGTGAATGTGTAATTGAAATTATATGCATGATAACATATTATAATTATCAAATATTGAAATTAATTATTATAAGACTTAAGCATAGAATTTCAATTACACATCCACCACAATTAGAGATTTTTAATTGTGTTAAATATGCCAAAAATATACAATCTTACCCCCCTTGCAACTTCTACATGCATAATTTAAGTGTTTTCCTCGGAATATATATCACTTGATCACTTGACATTCAATTACTCATCAATTTGCTCAAGCAGGCACCAGAAACGTCTCCATTTGTCCCTGTCGCGTGCTAGTGTAGCCCAATGGTGTCTATTCATTCTAGGAACACAAAGAGGCTCAAACCAGTCATTCAGGGTCTTGACGAAGAAGTCAGACCATCTCATAGGTGAGTGGCCATGTGGTCTTTTGACGTCGCATGGAATCCAGTCAGCAACAGCTCTAGTCCAGCGGTCGTCTTCAAATTGCTTTATGTGTCCAGCCCATGCGATTTTCGATGCCTTGGCAAACGAGACAGCATCCCTGATTCTTGACTCTCAACGGAGGTCGGAACTCCGGATTCTTTCTCTCACTTGGGTGAAACATGATACTCCAATCATATCTCTTTTGATTCCTCTTTGGGAAACCCGAATAGCGTTCTCATCCTGTTTTCCTAGGGCCCAGGTCTCTGAGACATATGTTAATGCAGGAAGAACAGTGGAATCAAAGAGATGTGCCTGGAGCCAAAGGTTCTTCGACCTCTTAGCTATTTCTTCAACACTCTTGAAGTCATTCAAAGTCTCTCTTTTTCTCCTGTGCAACTCAGGTGCCAGGTCATTCATCATGTTGACTTCTCGACCTAGGTACACATAATTGTTGCATTCGGAGATGGTCGTTCTATTGAGAGTGAATGGAGCATCAGGAATGAGACCATTTCTCATAAACATTGTCTTCATGAGATTCAGCCATAGTCCAATCTTTCCACACTCATGGTTGAAGTCTGCCAGCATTTATGCTGTTTGGCTAATCTTTGGTGTTATTAGAGAGATGTCATCAGCAAAGCGGAGGTGGTGTAGTTGCCGACCATCTATCTTCACTCCCATTCCTTCCGATTCCAGTTGTCTCATGATGTTCTTGAGGGTGGCACTGAAGGGTTTCGGTGAATTTTGATAAAGGAAGACCTGAAAGAGAGAAGAGCGCAAGTGCTGGGCAGATGCGGCAGAAGCCGGGAAAAGCATTTGCATCGCCTGTCTGTCCTTCGCCAACTGCAAGACCAAGATGACTGCCCTCCAATGGCCTGATGGATCTATCACATCTTCCAGAAGGGCAATGAAGAAGATTATCCATGACTTCTCAGATCTCCTGATAGCCAAGTCCACCTGCCCACATACCAAATTCCACCGGATGAATATGTCGTTTCTAACGTTCTCCCTTCCGAAATCTGACATGCCATTTCGTCAGTAAAGAAGCAAACAGGACCTGGCCCAGACAAGATCAGACCCAAACATCTAGAGAATCTACTGCTGGTACTCATCAATATGCTGGCTCGGCTTTTCACACGCTACTTGTCTGAATGCAAGCTTCCAGCCCACTGGAAAACCAGAAGGACTGTACTATGGTACAAGAAGGGAGAGATCCACAACATTGGCAACTATCGCCAAATCTGCCTGTTCTCTGTCGTCTACAAGCTGTCCACTCGAGTCATCCTGAATAGGATTGGCAGAACACTAGATGAAGGACAACCATGCGAGCAAGCCGGGTTCTGCAATGGATTCAGCACAATTGACCATAGTCCCACAATAACCAAGCTCACTGAAGTTTCTTGAGTGTTCAAGATGCTGCTCTGTCTAATGTTCATTGATTTAAAGAAGGCCTTTGATTCTATTGAGACTGAAGTGGTCATCGAAGCCCTAGCCAAACAGGACGTTCAAACTCAATACATCAGGATCCTCCATGAGCTGTATTATGGATTCCCTACCAGGATCTCACCATTCTACAAAGAAGTAATCATCCATATCAAGAGGGGGGTTCAGCAGGGTGATACGATTTCACTGAAACTAGAATATATAATCTTAGAGTATTTCCATTACCACATAACTCTGACATTTCTCTCCATTAGTGACATTTAACTAAAATCTTAATATTTCAACTTTTCTTTTGCATGTCCTGTGAACTTGTGAGCAGAGTAAGAAACAGGAAATCCCTAAAGAAGATCAAGGACCAACTACCAAAAATTTGGATTTTTGGCCACAACTTATTACACTAATGGTCACTATCATTGATGAGGATAAAACAGCCTACACACCTGTTCTAAATCAGTGAGTACACAATTTTGAAAATTGATGAATTTCATTGCAATAAGATTAAGAATATATTAAAATGTTTTAAGTGTGAATCATAATCTCAAGGTAATGACAAACTATTTTAAACTTATACTATAAAACACATATCTTTTGTTTTATCAGTAAATATAAATTCTGTTATAAGACTCCTTATTCAAGCTAAAATATTTGACATGTACACATATACATCCCTAAACTGAATTTTTATGTAGAGAAATGTTTTATTTTTTCCCTCAGTTTTCAAATTTTACTTCACAAGTACTCTATTGTCTCAAGAAAAATAAACTGTACTCCATTCCAAAACTTAAAACAATATTTAAAAATCAGGCATCTTAAAAATTAATATTAGAAATCATTATTAGCCCTAAAAAGTTTCCAAGAATTTGTATGTATGAATTGGGATAATGTAATATTTTTGAAGGTAAAAAGACTATTTTTGAGATAGCAATATAAACCTATTCTTTATATGTGTATATATATGTATATATATATGTCTTAGAAAAACATTGTGGAGGAATCTAAAATCATTATATCAAAGTATTACTAGAACACTTGGTGAATTGCCTGATTTCTCTGGGACTCAGTTTCATCCTATGTTCAATGAGACACTATTTCTAGATAATATTCTATTCAATTTTAAGGTTTCATATTTATAATTTATTTAATTTTCATGTTTCATATGTGAGATGTGAGCTGGAGTGATAGCACAGCAGTTTGGGCGTTTGCCTTGCATGTAACCAACCCAGGTTCTATTTCTACATCCCTCTTGGAGAGCCCGGCAAGCTACCAAGAATACCCCACCCACACTGCAGAGCCTGGCAAGCTCCCCGTGGCATATATAATATGCCAAAAACAGTAACAACAAGTCTCACAATGGAGACGTTGCTGGTGCTTGCTCGAGCAAATTGATGAACAGGAGGGCAGTGCTCCAGTGCTATGTGAAATGTACAAGTAAAGTAACAGCTGACTCTGAGCGCAGGCATTTGCAATCTTGTTAATTGTGAGGCTTTTCTGACTTATTGGTACTATCTGAGATACAACAGGCAGCAGGCATCATAGAAGCAGACAAATACTAAAATATAATATGAAGTAGATTCCAACTTAAGATGCCATACATAAATAACTGTTATCGTTCTCTATACTGGTCTATACAGGGTAACAGAGTTTATGTTGTACACAGTTGAAATTCCAATTATAGAAGTGAATTTAAGTATCTCGTGTAATTCATCAAAGTAATTATTTTGATATGCAACCTCTGACTGCATATACCTCATAAGTTTGTCTTGTACTGTTAAAAATAGTTGCTACTCTAACCTACCACTGTTTATGGAGCCCTCTCCCTGCTGTGAGTCTCATTCTCTCCTTCCATAACCTCAGCCTGGAGTTCGTTCCAGGGACGTGCCTACCCTTGGTCTTGTCTTCTCTCTTCTCTATATCCCACAGATGAGTAAAATGATTATCTCCCCCATATTGTTTTCCCCTCTGATTAATTAGCAAAAATCCCTCCTATTCCATCTACCTTGTTGCAAAAGGGAATAAATCTATCTTCTGCTCATGTTTTACTTTTGTTTGCTTTGTTTTTGAGCCATACAGGCCTGTGCACAGGGCTTGTTCCTGGCTCTGCGGTCAAGGATCACTCCTATACTGCTTAGGGGACCCTGTGGGGAGCCAGAAATTGGATCTGGGTCGGGCATGTGAAAGTCAATCTATCTATCTATCTATCTATCTATCTATCTATCTATCTATGTATCTATCTATGTATCTATCTATGTATCTATCTATCTATCTATCTATCTATCTATCTATCTATCTATCTATCGCTCTTCTATATCTCCAGTCACTTAAGCAGCAACCTAGGAGGTGTGCAGGTAAATGTCACCCAGAAAACGATGGCTAGGAGATTGAAAGGTTATAAGGCAATGAGTGTGTCATCAGTGATCCCAAACTAAGAATAAATTAAAATTTGATGAAGAAACGCTGAGAGATAAGCAGGGTTAAAGGGGACAAGACAGGTATCAACACAAGAATGGACTCTAACAATAATCTTAGAAGGAAAATAAGAAATAATGAAAGTAGCAACCACTACATGTTTTACCTTGGTGAATGATTACCTACCTGTCCTCCTTTTGAACTCCCCTAACTGCCTTCTGCTCCAAAAGAATTTCTTCTTCTTGGCTTCCTAAAACCTGAATCCACTTGTTAAAAGTTACAAACATAACTCTACACTAAGTTGTATGATGGATCCCTTCCCTTGAACCTGGATGGATCCGGACAGGACTGAATCTTTTTTATTTTTTTTGTTGTTGTTGTTTTATAAGGTAGTTCACAATATTTGATTACATTTAATATTCAAACACTAATCCCACCACCATTACACCTTCCCACCACCAAATTTGGGATGTCACTTTCCCAAGCCCCAATTCCTGTCCCAAAGCACAAAATAATATATTGCGTATTGTCTGTTATGAAAATCCTTCAAAAGAGTATCCATAGAGGAAACAGTGTGAAGATTGTTCTATTTTGGCAGCCACCATTAAGACATTCTTTAGAATATAACTAACATGTTGTTAAAGTTATGTGAGCTTTCATATATATATAATCTGAAAATATGTATATATGCATATTTATAATATATTTCCCTCTATGATTTGTTGCCTATTATTTGAACCCCATCAAATGTGGTGTGGTACTTACGGAGAATGGGTAGGGAGTGTCTCACGATGGCCACAAATGTGGCAGTGCAGTCCAGGAATATGATCACTCATTCATGAGGCTCAGCCCAAGCGTGTGTGGAATGGCCTTGAACGTGGTGGTGTTTGGATTTTGGAGATCTTCAGCTGCCAGGACTGGGTCCCTTGGGGCAGGGAGAACTCTCATCCGCCCCTCTCTGGGGCACCCTGAGTGAAACAGCCTGGCAAGAAGTCCGTGACATGGCTATGGTGGGCTTCATGTTGCTCCGTTCCAGGAGAAAAAGCCATGTGATCTGAATGGTGGCCAATGAGGAGATGATTTGGTGCGGGAGGAGGTGGCTGATGGGCATGACCCCTGGGTTGCTGGAGACTTGTGGGGGAAACAGGCAGAGGAGCTCTGTTGCCCCTCCCCCATTGAGCCCAGAGGACTGAATCTTTAACTCTGTCTTGCAAAGTGATCTACAACAATGAGGTAGAAACAGTGATAGATCAGCCTGCAAGGTATCATTAACAGCTCTGAGAAAGGGCTACTTGGCTTATTTATGCTGTCTGGTTCCCATTACTTGGGTCATTTTTCAGAACTGAACATATGCTTTAGGAACTAAGGCTGAATATTTATTACTGGATATAGAGAGACAAGTTTTCAATGTATTGCTTTGAGGTTATGGTAACCTAAAATTATGGAAGCCAGAAGTTTCCTACTTGGCTGTGTATTTACAGACTCCCATTATCTAAACTATTCTAAATTTATTTATTCAGGTTCTGTCCTTGGTGTGCGTAACGAAGGGAGCAATTTCCCACAAAGCTGACTTTAGTTTTTGTTGGAGTTAAATATATTATAGTAGGTAATATATAAAATTATATTACACAATTTTGTAAAGTTATGTGTATATATAATCACATATATAATTTATATATATGTAAAGATATATGAGTACATAATCACATAAAAATTGTTTCATTACTCAGATAAACATTTTCAGGAACAGGGGCAGAGAAATAGCAAAGTGGGTAGAGCAGTTGCCTTGCACATGACCAATCAAGTTTGATTTCTGGCATTTCTTATGGTCTCCCAAGCACCACCAGGAGGAATTCCTGAGGGCAGAGCTAGTAGTAAAAACTAAGCATCACCATGGACCCCCCAACCTAAAAAATAAATCAACATAATTAAAATTGTCTTCAGGGGCTAGAGGGATAGGACGTGAAATAAATCACTTGCCATGCATAGGCCAGGCCTTGTTCAAATCTGTGGTAATACCTAAGCATGACTAAGGGCTAAACCTGGGCCAGACATAACCTCTAAACACCACTTGGCATGGCCCCCAAGTAAGTAAAAAAAAATAGCTTTTAACTGTCCATTTATGTAGTCTGTGCTTGAAACCAAATAGGAAAACTAACCCAATATATTTAATGGATTGATAAATGTATCTTGTAGTTATCACTTTTAGATTGCTATTTAATTATAGGGCTGGAGCGATAGCACAGCGGGTAGGGCGTTTGCCTTACAAGCGGCCAACATGGCCGACCCAAGTTCGATTCCTCTAAGTAATATTTCCATTTTAAACCTGGAAACCTGAGTGAGCAATTTATTTTTTACACTAAATCAATTTTGCTTGCTCGTTTTTATAAAGGGGAAATGGGTCATTGGAAAAATCCAAAATGTTGTACTAAAATGCTACGTTACTAAGAAAGATGGGCTGGGGCGATAGTGCAGCAGGTAGGGCTTCTGCCTTGCACTCAGCAGACCCAGGTTTGAGTCCACCACCCTTCACAGAGAGCCCAGCAAGCTACCAAGAGTATCTCACCCACACGCAAATCCTGGCAAGCTACCCATGACGTATTTAATATACCCAAAACAGTAACAACAAATCTCACAATTTGTTGTGAGACATTACTGGTGCCCGTTCAAGCAAATCAATGAACAAGAGGACAGTGACAGTGACCAAGAAAGGTGCGAAGTAAAGAAAATTTATTTTTTCCAAAAGTTTTTACTCGTTAGTCGATTTGAATTTTTAAATAGATCAGATGCTTCTCAAAATTCTTGCAATAATTTATTTTCCGAAACAAAACGGGTATTTTTTAAAAAACACAAGAGAAATAATTACAAGAATATTTAATAAGAGTTTTACATTCTCAGTCAATTCTGATGATTTCAATTTTCTGCCTCCCGGTACACATGCCATAGAGCTATAAAACAGTTCACATTATTATTTTATGGTTTATTTTTCTGTAACCAGATGGTTTCAGCTAAAGTGGATATCTTTCATGTTATAAATACATTCATAA